AAAGACATATACCATATGATTCTACTTCCATGAGATATTTAAAATAGTCAAATTCAGAGAAACAAAGTTGAACAGTGGTGGCTAGGGACTGGGAGATGGAGAAATGGGGATATGTGTTCAAAGGGTACAAACTTAAGTTAGAAGGTGAATAAGTTCTGGGTACCTAGTATACAGTGTGGACGGTAATAGATGTGTTCAATAATTAGATTGTGATTGTCATTGACAATCATTACACATATACCTAGGACAAATCATCTTGTTGTATGCCTTAAATATAGTTCTTATTTGTCAATTAGATATTTGTAAATGAAATAAATAATAAATTAAAAAACAAACCTTTATTGCTCCATTTCATTGTAGCCCAGTGTCTGACATCTGCAGCCACCCTCCTCAGAGCCACTGTCTGGACCTGGGTCAGGGTCATGCAGTGGCCTCCTTCCAGGCTTGCTGAAGGGTGATCCTTTCCAGCCAGGGAAAGCTTACCTTGACCGCCCTTCTCTTGACACTGTAGCAGCTCTCCATGTTGCTCTGGGAGGAAGCCCAGACAGGTTCAGCTGCTGTCTGAGCCTCAGTTTCCTGGTCTGTAGCTCAAGATGCTGACCTCCAAGGATCCCTCCAGCTGTGATATGCCAGCAATGTGTGACTGGAGATACAAGAGAGATCAAAGATGGGAAAGGCAGTCCTCTGCTGGCTCCTTCCATGGGAAATTGGGGGTTTTAAGAATGCAAAGCTAATATTGCAGTGTTTAAACCTAGTGGAGGTATCAACTAGTTTCTAATTACTGATCCCCAATTTAAAAGCATATGTACACTACAGACATTTTGCAAAACAGGGAATTATAATAATGAAAATTTAAACCACCCATTATCCTGTCATCCAGAGATAAAGTCTAGTAATATTTTGGTTTTAGTTAACTGCTAGCTTTGTATATGTAAATATATGGTATTTCCTTCCCCAGTCCCAGAAAATTTTCTCTATATTTGTATCTTCATTTTTCAATGAAAATGTCTTCATATGCAAACACAAGTACCACTAAATAGTCTTTACATGGTCTTTTACAACTGTTCAGTGCTCCATAACACCCTTCCCCCAACATTTCCTGTGGTATTGGGGATTGAATCCAGGGCCCTTTACCACTGAGCTACATCCCCAGCTCCCCTCTTTCCTTTTCTTTCTCCCCCTCTCACACTTCTCCCCCACCCACCCCCGCCCCTTTCTTTCTTTCAACTTTTTAAGTTGTCTAGGCTGGCCTTGAATGGTGTGCTTCCTGCCTCTGCCTCTGAGTTACAGGGGTTACAGGCCTGTGCCACCACATCTGGCTAGTCATTCTTTTAATTTGCATTTTTAGCTACAATAAATAACACTGACTTAAAAAGTGTCGTGATACACATAAATCTTCACATTGATTTGTCTTCCTTTGGCACAAATTACTGGTTGTATAGTTATTTACTGGTCCAATGGGTGTAAGCATTTAAAAGACTCACACATGTTACCAAATATGCATCTTAACACATCTTCCTTTTCCTAACTTTCCAGGAGGTTGTAACAATTTTCCCCTTTTTACCATGTGAGTATCACACTGTCCCCATCCTACTAACTTACTATCATTAAAAAAAAAAAAATCACTTTTGACTATGTGTAGGTTAAAATTTATTACTTAATAAAACAGCCTTGTAAAGGGAGGATGAATAGTTCAGAACTCAGATTCCAGTAATTTTTTTTGTGCGCCTACATGAATGGGCACTGTGCCAGATGCTTTTTTGTTTGTTGCTGTTGAACACCACACCCTTGGAATGTAGGTGTCATCCTTTCCTTGTTCTGTCCCATGAGGCTGAGATGTGCCAGTACCCAGGGCTCTTGACTCTGGATGTGCACTGCATTCTTACTTGCCTCATCAGCCTCAAATGACCTAGAGTAATCTTGTTACATATATTCAGATCATAAGAGAGAAACGCAAAACATATCCAAAGCTTACCAAGTTTTTGAAGTTTGTGAGTAGAATGAAACATACTGGCCTCTAAGTTGGATGATCCCTCTGAAATTCTGCTTTATCTGAAGACATCCAGGGCTCCTGCTTCTTGCCTGATCTGAAGGTCACTGAACCAAAGGTGAGACTAGTAGGATGAGAAAGGGGACTGAACTGCTTGACCTCAGGTCCAAACTGTCTGCCCTTGTTTGCTAGTGAAAGCTAGACTGAGCTGGATTTGAAGGAGTATTGCTGCTTGGATGGTGAGCACCTTCTATCCAAATGCAAACCCCAGACCCTTCATGTGCATGTACTTGGTGAGCTTTGGGAGCCACGAGGCCTTATCCTTTATACTTGGTGAAGGGAAAGTGAGAAATCGAGAAATGAAGGATGGAGACCAGGCAGAGATCTTCACAAAGGTTTATTTGTCAAAATTGACAAATAAAGGCCATCCCTCTATAAAGTGGAGAGAGGCACCCGATTTTGGGTGTTCAGCTTTTATGGGGTAGGGGTTTGGAGTTGTAGTTGTGGCGCTGAGATAGGCTGGAGGTGCTTGCCTCAGAGCTAGGCAGTGGGGAATAGCATGGGATTGGCTTAGGTCAATGGTACCCCGGGGCTTTCCAGAGCAAAGAGGTTGTGTTATTCTGGGATTGGTTTAGGGTTATAGTACCACGGGGTAGGTCCCTAATTGGGGTGGGGGTTGTTTGGGTAAGAGGAAGTACAGGAAAGCAAAAATTATAAGATGGCAGTTAACATTTAAGATGGCTGCTCGAATGTTAAATCAATACCTTATACTTGGTCTTCTGCATACTAAACGTTGAAAACTGGCTTTTGAATCTTTAGACCCTTTAAGGGTTTTTATAGCAATTTCATGAGGGCAGTCTTTCAGTACCCCAAAACAATATAAACTATGTACATTAAACCTTAACCATGGTTCCTTATTTTTGTACTATCTGATATGCTAACAGGACAGTAAAAGCGACCTGGGGCTGTTATATTTTCCCTTTATTTAGGAAGGGGTCTGGGGTTCTTAGCTCAGGAGGGACTCCTAAACATGTCCTAGGCCTAGGTTGTTGAGGATTCCGTGGGGTGTACCTGGTAATTAGCTTAACATGTGGCTGATTGTGCTGAACTTCTTCCCCAGTGCCAGTCCCCTTATTTCCTGTGTTAGGGGATACTTGAGATTTGGTCTTTGAGGAAGTTTTCTCCAGAGGTGTGCCACACAAATTCTGTTACTGCTGTTAGAATACAGTGATCTCATTTGGATATGAAACCCTGCCAGCACTTAAGATCCTACTCTTACCAAAGGCAGGCCTATAGTTAAGTATTATGTCAATGCAGTGAAACTTGTTTCTGGAGAAGGGAGCATTTTTCGTTTGGGTACTACAATTTCTGTAGGGGCACTTAACCACTGATCCACATGCCCAGCCCTTTTTAAAGAATTTTTGTTATTATTATTATTATTATTTTTAACTTTGAGACCATCTCATTAAATTGCTTAGGGCCTGGCTAAGTTGCTGAGGCTGGCTTTGAACTTGCTATCCTCCTGCCTCAGCCTACCAAGTCACTGAGATTGCAGGGGTGTACCACCGAGCTGGGGTAGAATAAAGCGTTTTTAAAGGCCAGCTTCTCAGTTAGATTCTAACTCTGTCCACCATCATTGTGGTCTTTGAGTTGAAGCTGGAAACCCCACAAGACTGGAAATCCTGTACCACCAGCCGAGGAGGTGAAGAGTGCTGCCTAATACTCAGGGAAACGACTTTGAGAGGAGAAGGGACAAATGAGAAGAAACCACAGAGGGCCAAGCTGGTGTAGAATTGGATTGTGGGGTGAGGGTGGGGGAAGGAAAAACTAGCAGAATGAGAAGCTCAGAATAGAAGATATAAAAGAAAGTGCCAGCTAGTGAAAATACTGCAAAAGAATGGGGGTGGGGGGACGACGGGGAACGGTTTAGAAAAATAGCAATTAGTAGAGCTAAAAATAAAGACCAATTTAGAGACAAAGCCAGATACACAAGGAGAAAAATAAAACTCGCCAGAAAGACAATTCCTTGCAAGCCAAATGTTCAAGAAAATGGGGCTAATGACACCTCCTCTTGGGCAGTTTTGTAGAAGAAATGAGAAAATAAATGAGCGTGAAGGCAGCGCTGAGCAGGTGATAGCAATGGGGAGAGGAGACTAGGGGACCTGAGTGATTCCATTGTTGAGCGCAAAAGCGCTGCCTGAAGCTGCACCCAAGTGTCCTCAAAGTTAGAGATGTGTTCGAACCCCAGGGGGTTCCTACAGAATTCCCTAAGATCTGCCCCTGGAGTCTCAAAACCAAGGGTAAAAAGTGCTCAAGTTTGGGCGCCCGCGCAGCGCGGCCCCGGAGAGGGCGCCCACCCGCGGTAGCTCGGCTGGCTTCGCGTGGGCACCGCGGGCAAGGCCCAGTGACGTCTCGCCCTCATTTGGGGCGTGGGGAGGCACAACACCCACGGAGTGGGCGGCAGGCAGGCCGGGGCACGCAGAGACCCTGCATCCCCGGATGGAGCCCAAGGCCCCCCACGTACTTCGCTGAACTGCGAGGTCTCGGCTTCCCGGTGATCTGGGACGTGAACCCCATTTGTCAGTCATAAAGCTCGGTCCGCCCGCGGCGCCGAGCCAGTTCTCGGAGAGGGCGGGTGCCCGAGATGGATGAGGGAGCTGGGAACACGGAGGGCTGGCATCTCCGGCGAGCTCCGCGGCGCGGCCAGGGGCCCTGGATGCGCTAACCGCCTTGGCAGGGTTCCTGAGTCCCGGGCGGCGCAAGCTCCCTTCGGGAGTGCGCACACAGTCCCAGGCGCGGGGCTGTGGTCACCTGGGTGGTCCTGCCGGGTCCTGGCACCTGGGGGCGGGACCCAGGGTCGGGGCCGGCGCGGGCGGGAAAGGCGCACGGAGCGCGCCACGCGGCGCCTAGCAGAGAGGAGGGCGGCGGGCGGGGGCCGGGCTCGCCGGGGCGGCGCTGAGCGGGCTCCTCCTCCTCGCCCTCCTCCTTCTAGCCTCGCCGGGGCTCAGCGGCCGCGCGGCCGGGCTGCTCCTCCTTCCTCCCCCGGGTCCCCGCGGCGATGTTCAACCGCGCTGTGAGCCGGCTGAGCAGGAAGAGGCCGCCGTCAGGTAAGTGGCTCCCGGGGCCGGCGGGCTGGGGTCGCGGCGCGGGAAGGGACCTCGAGCGGCGGGCCGGGACGGCGCTGCCCGCTGGGCATCCTTCCCTGCGTCCTGGGCTGGGGCGAGGCTCGGCGGTGCCGCCCCGACGGGAGCCCCGGCCGACTTGCCACTTCTCCCTGCTGCGATTCGTGCCCCCGAGGTCCCCGCTGCTGCGGGAGCGCTGAGCCTCGAGAGACGCCCCGGGGAGGAAGTTTGGCCGAAAGGGGAACAACTTCAGTTTTCTTTTTAGTGATGGTCTGGGAGAAAAAGGAGATCCAAAACGCCCCCAAACTTCGAAGGTAGTGTGGGACCCAGATACCGAAAGCAGAACGCAGGCGGGCTTCCCTTTGTGGAGTCCCTCGCCTCCGCCGTGGGCGTTGGTGGGAAGGGTGCCCGCGCACGCCCGGAGGCGGCAGGGCTGGACCTCACGCAGCCCACTCGGCAGCCGGGCCGGGGCTGGCGGTTCTGCAACAGCGCGGAACCAAAAAGTGGGGCCACGAAGGTGTTTGAATAACAGGATGGAGCAGGTACACCTGCGTGGTTCACGCCAGGAAGTCCTGACATGACAAAGTATTCACCTTGGCCATCACTCTGGATTAGTCTAAGCCACAATTTGTGGCAACTTGATGAGATAAAGAACACACGGTGGAGATGAAACCATACCCCTCATTCAATCCTTTTATTCTTTTGATTCATATCAATAGCTAGGACCCTCTGAGCGCTTACTGTGGGCCAGAGGCTATGTCCACTACCTTCTGTGGCTTCTCCTTTTACCCTTAGAGCAGCCCCATGAGAGGGGGAACTGAAGCCAGGAGTGTTAGGTAACGTGCCTCACTTCACACTTAGGTGATGGAGAATCTTCCAAACCCAGGCTTGTCTGACTCCCATGCTCAGGAGTTCACAGGTTTTCCTGCGTTGCTCATTTCCAGGTTCACTTCTGCATACTTCTGGGAGTCTGTGCGTGTTGGTCCGTTTCCTCTTTTTTACCTGACATTGTATGTAGTTACAAGATAAGACATTGGAACCAGAACGGCAGGGTTGGTATCCCACCCCCACCCCTACCAATTCATAGCTGTGCAACCACTTTGTGCAGAATAAGAAACTGCAAAATAGAAATAATGGGAGCTGCCCCTCTCCTTAAGCATGTGCCCCCGATCAAATTATGCAGATCACTGTATTTAGTATCTAGGGTGACTGTAATAAAATCAGACTTCATAGGCGGGGTGGTGGTGCACACTTGTAATCCCTGTGACTGGGGAGGCTGAGACAGGAGGATTACAAGTCCTAGGCCAGTAAGACCCTGTCTCACAATTAAAAAGGACTGGGGATGTAGCTCAGTGGTAAAGCATCCCTGGGTTAAATCCTCAGTATTTAAAAAAAAAAAAAATTGGACTTCAGAGGGTTATTGTAAAGATCTTACATTGTTGCCCAGCACATTCTAAGTGCTCCATTAGTGTTAGTGGTAATGTAAAGTCTTTCAGTGTTGCATGTGAGCCTAAGGATTCCCTTGTGGGTGTTGATGGTAGTCATTCCCTATTGCCAGCATAGGCCCATGGAGTAGTGATCAGAGCCTGAATTCCAAAGTTAAACTCTATTTCTAACCCAGACTATCATTCATCAACTTTGAGCTAAGTCGCTGGACCTCCCGTGTTGCAATTTCAAGGATGTGCTGTAGCCAGCTGAAACTGGCTTGCAAGAGCCAATTACTAAATATTCAGAAAATATAGGAACTGATTGCTACACCATAGGTAACTTGAAATTAGCTGCGGCGGGATATTTACATTATGAAAATAAGCAAATGCTAAAAATCAAGGCTTTTTTTTTTTTTTTCCTCCTTGGAGAGTTGATATACCAGCATACTTCTGGGTCATTTTCCCCATCTGGAAAGTGGATTTCATAAAATTGTGGGCTTATATATTCTAAAACATGTGAAGCCCCTGGGACAATGCTGAGAACATGATAAATGTGTAATAGTTATGAGTTTCTGTCTTTTCTCTTTTCCTGCTATAAATGAGCTGCTGTGAATATCCCCGAGTGGGTTGTTCATTGATTTGGGTTGCATTTGGGTTGAAGACTCGCAGATAGAACCGTTGAATCATGGGAGATATGTGAGTTCATTGTGTTTTGCATGTGGCCAGGTTGACTCCAAAAAGACTGAAGGCAGATTTAGCAACCTGGAGCAGGAACAATGAAGCCCAACTGAAGCCCATCAAAGTGTGGTTGATGATAGAAAGGTCAGCAGCTAACCATCATGGGTTGACATGGATACCTGGCCTCCAACTGCCTGATGTCCTTAGAAGTTTAGGTTTGAAGTCTTCGCCCCTCATGGGGAAGGACATGAGCCCCTCCAGTTTGGCCACCCCCCAACATCAGGAAAAGAAGGAGCCTAGTGAGAAAGCAGGAATGAGGACCCGCAGGAGGTACTGGGAAGCCAGCCAAGTGATCTGCTGGACCCTGAACTGACTTTTTTTTATACCCGGGATTGAACTCAGGAGCACTTGACCACTGAACCACATCTGCTGCCCAATTTTGTATTTTATTTAGAGACAGGGTCTCACTGAATTGCTTAGCACCTTGCTTTTTGCTGAGGCTGGCTTTGAACTCACAATCCTCCTGTCTCAGCCTCCCAAGATGCTGGGATTACAGGTATGCCCAACCATGCCCACCTGGACCCTGAACTGATTTTGGGGGGTAATTTTGAATTATTTTTCTTAAAGAGGCTCTCTGATTGTATAAGATCAGGCCCCACAAAAGTTGGATCCACCCCTGCAGAACTCCTGATTTGGACCTGGCTACAGTCCTGCCTCCCAAGCATCTTTAGTTAGACCTTTCTTGCTTTTCAGCAAAGTCTTTTTTTTTTTTTTTGGTACTGGGAATTGAACCCAGGGGTGCTTTACCACTGAGCCACATCCTCAGCCCTTTGTATTTTGTATTTTGAGACAGAGTTTCGCTAAGTTGCTTAGGACCTTGCTAAGTTTCTGAGGCTGGCTTTGAACTTGCCATCCTCCTTCCTCAGCCTCCTTAGTTGCTGGGATTACAGGCATGTGCCAATATGCCGGGCTCAGCAAAGTCTTATTAGACATGATGTCTTTAAGCTGAGGGTTTTGAGGTCCTAGCCCCTAATTCTAAGACCCAAAGTGGGATTCCCTTAGTCTCTTTTCAGAAGTTTCTCAAAGTATGTTCTACCAACTGGGTGGGAATGAAGGGATCTTGGTAAAAGTCAGCTTTGCAGACTTACCAGTCCAATCTTGGGGACTGGGGTGAGGCAGGGAAAGTAGACTACATTTTTAGCAAGCATCCCAGTTGACTTTTTAAGCCACTGAAATGTGAGGACCCCTCAAAGGATTCTGTCCTCTTGTCCTGCCCCTCACAAGAATTGGTATTTTTGATTACTGGGGTGTGCCCACCTGAGAAGCAAAGCTGAGGTTACCCTGATTTGTGTCAGAGTAATTCCCACCCTGCCAGGCAGGCCACCCAGGCCTGTTATACATTATCCCATTAAACCCTTGGGAACAGTTTGAGATTTATTGCTGGGCTTACGTTTTTATTTAAAGATGACAGTATTTGTAACAATTTAATGTCTTTGTTTTAGCAACTCAGCAGTGAAGCATCTTGGCAGCTGGGGAACTTTCCCTGGAGAACCATACTGGCTGGGCCTGGGGGTTCAAGGAGATCTGGCCTGCTGGTACAGCAAGGTCAGGATGAGGGTGATATTTTGTCCAGGTGAGGTCAGTGCAGGAGCCAGCTGACTCTGTGGAACCGGCTCTGACCCCCCCCCCCCCACTGAGAGCAGCCTGCAGACCCATGAGCCTGAGGCGCTAATGGTGCTTTATTGGCTACTTTGATCTGTGTTTGATCTTATGTGTCCTTCTCTCACTGGTAGAAAACTTGGACACCTAGGCAGGTGCCTGGCTTGGCCATTCTCTAGTGCTTCCTAGGTGAACAAACCCTCCTCTCTCCAGGCTGAGTAATCCCTTTGGCCCCCCGACACTGGGCTTTGGGGACTTGCTGTTTGAACTGTGCTAAATATACTCTCATGAGTGTCTTGTGCTTCCCCCAGATAGCTGTCCACTGCAGCAGCTCTGGGGTGGCAGTGGGAGCAGGGGCCCAGGCAGGCAGCAGCAGCAGCCCCTTGATAAGAGCTGTCAGGAGGTGTCTGCTAGAGTGGAACAGTCCCCTGCAGACTTTCAGGGACAAATTTCCCTCTCAGGCCAGTTTCCATCTCTGGAGGGCCTGCTAAGTGCTTAGGAAACCTTGTTGACCCTAGGCCTGGTGCCTGGGGACCCTCATTCTGGCTAGCCTTCCCTCCCAGCCCTGCTTTCCCCAGTCCCCACTCTGTCCCTGGGGGGACTGGACAGTTCTACTTCTGTGCCTTTGTCACCCAAAGATGTCCCCTGTCCTGTCCCCAAACCTGGGTCTCCCTGCTCTAGAACCTGTCACTTCCCTGTCCTCTGTACCTGACGGTGCAGGAACTCCTGCAGAGCTGCAGAGGTCACTACGGGGCCGGGAGTTTCCAGAGCCACCCCTTTCAGAAGGGCAGACCAGGACACTCGACTCAAGTCTGGGCACATTCAGTCGTTCAGTCACCATGTTAAAATATACTTAGAGAATGAATATGAGGATGATCATCTTCTCCCTCCCTCCCCTTCCATCTTGGAACTCCTGGCCACATCTTCTGAATTCACAGTAAGATCCATGAGTGAAAGGATGCTGCCTTTCCTTTCTGGCACTTCCTGGGCTCTCCTGGCTCTCCAGCCAGCCAACCTGGGCGGAAACCCAGCTCCTCCACTTCCTTGCTTGCTTCTTTGTATCAAGTTATTTCACCTCCTGGTGCCTCAGTTTCTTTTTCTGTAAAATGGGGCCAATGATGGGGCCAACCTCCAGGTAATATGCAGTTTGGAGGGTTACATACAGGAAATGCTTAGGGAATGTCCGCTGTTTTTATTAGCTGCCATCTTCTGCTCCGTACCTAGCTTTGCTCAATCCTCAGGAAATATTGATCGTTTATAATTTATATACATGAGGGCCAGATACCAGGCTAACCCTGAGGAAGACATAGCTCTTGCTCTTAAGAAAGGGTGTGGTCTTTCTTTCTGGTTCTAGAGAGGGAAAAAGTCACTTACCTTGTTTTTTAAAATTAAATTACCTTTTTTTTTTTTTCCTTTTTGGTGCTGGTGGTTGAAGCTAGGACCTCATGTGTGCTAGGCCAGCACTGTATCACTGGGCCACACCCCCAGCCCCAGTGTTACTCACCTTGACTTGAGGCCAGAGCAAGGAGAAGGAAGAGGAGTGGGGAGGGGGAGGGTACATTTATACATTCATGTCAGGCCCCAGAGGAAGCATGGGGGCTTCTGGGAAGAGAAGAAAATCAATGCCAAGGTCTTCATTTTCAGCCCCAGGACAGGGCCTCTGGGTCATTAGAGAATGAATATGGAGATGATCATTTTCTTGTTCCGGGCCTCTGCCGGAAAAGTGGGGATTCTTGGGTGGCTGCAAATAACAGTTCGGCGTCCTTGTTTCCTTCCCTCTGGTGGATACTGGAAACCAGTGGCCATCTGTTGTTTGGTCCGCTCAAAAGAGGATGTTGAGGCTGGTTTTTTATTTGGACCCTGGGTGCTCCAGAGCCCTGCGGCCCTGTCTTTCTCTCTCAAAACAGCTCTGAGAAGGCAGAGGGATTCTGGTCTGCGTGGAACTTCTCGGTGGACCCCAGAGCATGGAACGTAAGGAATGGCCCCCACCCCTTCAGGAGATGTTCTCAGCCTTTTTTTTTTTTAATACCATGGCCTTGTCCCTGGCCCTGGGCGGGGCAGAGGTTGGGGGTGTGTGTGTGTGCTTGCAGTCACAGGTGCACAGGTGATCTCTGAAGGGCAGTGTGAGCACTTGACTTTGAGGCCCAAAGCACCTGTCTAAGTACCAGCCAACCCTCTGCAGCCTGTTCTGGGGTTCCTGTCGCAGGTGCTGGCTGTTATGATTATTTTAAAACTTTTTCACTTTGATTATAATTTTCTGCTAACTGTAGTTCACTTCAATCCCCGCCCCCCCCCCCCCCAGCTCCCGGGGCATTGTATATCTCTAAGGTAGTTCTCAGAAGCTAGATACTGGTGTGATAAACACTTAAGTCATATTTAGATACAGTCTTTCCATGACCCAGTTTCAAGGGAGGCTTAGGAGATCACCAGCTATAACAAACGACTCTCTGATTCTAAATTGGGATGATTTTTTTTTAATGTACTGTGTTTGATGTGGTATAGGTGATGTGAGGTTTTAAAATTAGTTTTGTGGAGCGTGTACTTGCCTTGAAACTTCATTTCACAGTAGAGAGTGTTGGAAAGGAGCATGGACGGTGTGTGTTGTACCAAACCACTTTGGAATTGAGGGTTAACATCTCTGCCTTCTGCTTGACTTGAATGTTTACTTTGTTTTATTTAATATGCTGTGAATTTAGGGGATATTTAGGACAGATCCTTTGAGAATGCAAGTTGCCTCTGCTGTTGAGGAAGTTGAATATTGAGATCACACTAAAATATTTGTGGAAATTATGCAGGTTAATAGCAGAAATCCAAGCTGGAAGCATGCAGCTCTGCTGAGTGCTGCAGATGCCTTTTGAGTATGGATTTCTAGGGAATTAATATCTGGAGAAAATCTCAGATGTGACATCATAGCATCTATAAATAATGCATTATGAAATAGGCTGCAAGCAACCTGCCCCAGGCACCTGCAGGTGCTACACCAGTCTCTGAAAAAAAGTGGCTTTTACTGAAGTCATAAACCACAGAGAACAGCATAAATGTAAAAGGCAAACGTATGTACATTGTGTTTATGTGATAGAGGATTCCACTCTAGTCTTATAAGACTTTTTTTTTTCCCCTCCATGGAATTGGACCTAGCTTTCTCAGTCTTTTTCCCCAGTGTAATTGTTTTAAGCCTTTTGAAGACTATTGCATTCTGGCTTTTCTTAGTGTGAAGATCAGCAGAAATCAAAACCAAAAATAGCCAGGCACACTGGTATACATCTATAATTTGCTACCAGGGAGACTGAGGCAGGAGCATAGAAAGATCCTAAGTTCCAGGGCAGCCTGGGCAATTTAGCAAGACCCTGTTTCAAAATAAAGTTTAAAAAAAATTAAAAAGGGCTGGAGGTGTAGGTCAGTGGTAGAGCACTTATCTAGTATGTGCAAGTTCTGAGTTTAATTCCTAGTACCTCAAAAAAAAATTACAAATAAAGTTATGGAGCCTTATGGGAAAGAGCAGGTACCCTAGAGCCAGGCTGCCTGGCTTTGGAGTATGGTTTCCCATTTCCTAGCTGGGTGAGACTTGAAAATTCCTGTGCCTCTGTTTCTTCATTTACAAAGTGTCAATGCTGTTAACCTCATGAATGTTTTGGGGAGAACTGAATGATTTGACCCATGGTAAAAAGCTCAGCACAGAACCTGACATGTTGTAAACAACTTCCAAGCTTTAAATGTTATCCACTAATGATAGATTAATCTGAAGATAAATTTACTGAAAAATTAGTATTTTACATGCAAAAATTAGAAGATCTGAAGTGCTTTAAAGGAGGTAAAATAAAAAACCCATAGAACTCCAAAACTTTTGTTCATTGCAAATGTTTTACAACTGGACTAAAAACAAAACAAAATAAACGGAATATGACGAAATTGAAACAAATGCTATGACAAATGGCTCATCATTAGCATGAGAGATCATAAAGCTGTTAGGAGAACATGGCTAACGTTTTTACTATGTATGCATTGCAAACCTGCTTTCTTGTACAATCCACGAAAGGAAGTTTTTACCAATGATAAAGGATAAAAGAGTATTGGAAATTTCTGGATCTGAAGGCCAGAAATTGGGCAGCAGTGAAATCTTGGTATTGTTTTATTGCTCAGCTCAGAAGTAACCTGCTTGCTGTTGAGCAAGGTTATTTATTTCTCCTGTACATTGCTGGACTGAAAATAACCTTTAAAGTGAACCCGGGAGGCTCAGGAATCCCTGACTTGGTGCACTTCCGAAGATAGAGGAAGTCTGAGGAGTAGACCCCGAGTGACAGATGTCCTGGGTTTGGGGCAATCTCTAGGGCAGTGTCAGATGGACTGGATTGAGGCTGGGGATAGTGACTTGGAAAAGAGAGACATTTGATTTGGATGGTATGAATGTGTCCTTTAGAGTTCATTTGTTGAAATTTAATCCCCGTTGGGATGTATTAAGGAGGTGGAAACTGAGCTGGCTGGGCACAGTGGCAAACACCCGTAATCCCAGCAACTCGGGATGCTGAGACAGGAGGATTGCAAATTCACGGCCAGCCTCAGCAATTTAGTGAGGCCCCAAGCAACTTAGTGAGACCCTGTCTCAAAATAAAAAAATAATATAAAAAGGGCTGGGGCTGTGACTCAGTGGTAAAGCACTCCTGGGTTCAATCCCCAGTACCACAAAATTTAAAAAAAAGAAGGTGGAAATGTACTGGACTATGGTGTTTAGAGGTGGGGCTGTTGGGAGGTGTTATGATTAAATAAGTTCATCAGGGTGGAGCCCCCAGGATTGAATCCTTTTGGCTTTCTAAGAAAAGAGAGAGGAAAAACTAGCAGAACACACACCTGTGCTCCCTGTCTCTCGCCTGTGATGCCTTGATATCTCAGGATTCTGCTGGCAAAATGGCCATGACTCTCAACCTTGTACTTCCAGAACCATGAGCCCAAGTAGACTGTTTTTCTTTATAAATTAACCTGCCACAGATATTTCACTACAGTTATGAAAAATAGACTAACAGACGCCAAAAAGTGGATGGGCTTTGCAAATGCTGCTCTATCAAGATCTGTCTATACTGATACCAATCAAGAAGGATTTAAAGAGGAGGGGAACACAGCCAAAAGCATTAATAAAACTTAAGAGTGGGGCGGGGGAGGGCTGGGTTGTAGCTCAGTGGTAGAGCGTTTGCTTAGCATGTGTGAGGCACTGGGTTTGATACTCAGCACCAAATAAAAAAATGAATAAATAAAATAATGGTATCGTGACCATCAACAACTAAAAAAAAAAAAAAAATTAACCCCCCCCCCCCAAACCTTGAAAGCCAATCTGGAAGTCTAGGAAAAATTCACACCAATATTTCTGGGCAAAGTGAAAACATGATAGATAGTTAGGGAGTAGGAGACGCCTATTGGGCAGCTCTGGGGCAGAAAGTGGGCAGAAGGCAAGAAGGACTTTCTCTTTACCCAGGATGCCAAAGCCAGGAAACCAGTAACATGGCTACTGAGAGAAGCTTCCCATTGGTGTGCTTTCTACTCCATTCCTAAAAATTCCATGCTCTTCTGTAATGGTATCAACTGTGGATGTTATTTCCTTATTCTTGATGCAGGAATAGGAGTTCAAGAGAGAATCAAATAGAGGGCCCATCTGTTGTCTATGTTCTAAGGGACACTGCAGCCCCATGGAGGTGATCCTGCTAGGGACAGTTTCCCTTAGGTGGAGCTCCCAGTGCTGATTCTGTCCTTCAGTTCCTTAGCCAGGTCCCCTGGGACAGGTCATTTCCCGTCTGGACTTTTGATTCCCAGTCTATAAAGGGTGAGACCAAATTAGTTGGTTTTGAGTTTATAAGATTTTTTGTTCAAATGAAAGCTGATGTAGAATCCTAATATGCAAAAATGATTAGCTTATTAGGTTTGATCACCTCTGAATGAAAGTGGTGTCAGCCACTGTGGCACTGGGGCTAGCTGTCTTAGCTCTCTTGGCTCCCTGTTGGCAAATGGGAATCCATGTGTATATTGATATTCAAGATAGTGTTGCAGTGAAAACCCCTGTGGTTTGGATTCTTATAGAAAATAATGTCAAGGTTTTGGAATCCTTTCAGACCAAAGTTGAAAACTCCCAGTCCCAGTAGTAGTTCTGCAATGGCAGGGGCAGCCTGAGGTTGTTCCTGGAACGGCATCCTGTGTGTCTGGGTTTATTTACTTAAGAGAGGATCTGCTGGGGAAGTGGAGTGAACCGTCAGACTGTGTTCTCTGGGCAAAGAGCAGAAGAGTGAGTTAGTCGGATGCTTGGCAGAATGAACTGATGCAGAAATTTCTCTTAATGATGATCTTTGAATTTGAACTTTGGGAAGACGCTCTGTTCAGGAGCTTGCCATCCCAGCAGGGACAAAGAGAGCAAGGAGCTCATTTCATATCCTCATACTGGATGGGGCACTTTAGAAAACCATCAGGTCTGTTTGGTGATGTGGCCCAGTGACTTCTCTTCTCATTAGAGGAATGGATTTGTCCCAAATAATGGATTCCTCTCTTAGGTACTCCATCACCACTGCATATTGAAACACAGTCCTGGCTGGATTTGTAGTTCTGTTTTATTTTATTTAGCTTAAGGGGCTAGGAGGTGGAGTCTTAGTGGATTAAGCAGTTAATGTGTATGTTTTCCACTCTAACAGAACATCAGGTATCCTTGAAGCTGCTTCTATTAAGCCCAGTGTGTTTTGACATGAATTTTCTACAACATTTTTTTTTTTTTTGTATTGGGGGTTGAACCCAGAAGCGCTTAACCATTGAGCCACATCCTTAGCCTTTTTTACTTTTTATTTTGAGACAGGGTCTCACTAAGTTGCTTAGGGCCTTGCTAAATTGCCAAGGCTGGTTTCGAACTTGAGATCCTCTTGCTTCAGCCTCCCAAGTCCTTGGGATAACAGGCATGTACCACCGCGCCCTGATTCGAGAAGATTTTTAGTAGAATGGTCTCGTAGCTATTTGTAGCAATTCATATTTATAAGACTTCATTAATCCTTTAAAGTGGTTTTCTTTATTTGTTCCTTTTTTTGGATGAGTACTTATTGTTTAAAATTTTGCTTCATTGATTTCTTAATTAAAAGTTTATTTTCTACTAGATTTAAACTTTGCTTATAAAAACATGCTTCTAGTTTAAAAAAAAAAAGTCATTAGGGAAAAAGTATTACCGGTCATTATCTCAGGGAAGGGGAGAAAGGAACTAACACTTGTTCAGAGCTTGTTGTGGCCCTAGTATGTTCCCAGGTCCCTGATGCACTTCCCCAATTGACACATAATTGTACAGGGTGCCATGTAGCATTTCAATACAGTGTGTAATGATGAGATCAGGTCGTTGGTATATCTGCCACCTCAAACATTTATCATTTCTTTGGGGAGCATTCAAGATCCTCTCCACTAGCCATTGTGAAACATGCTGTTAGCGCTTCATTTTTGAATCCTTAGGGTAACCCTAGAGGTCAGGGGTATACTCTATCAGAATTTTGCCCAAGGTCTTATAGTTTGGATTGCTAAGCTGGGTTTTGAACCTGAGACCAACCAGAGTGACTTCCCAGTGGCTTTTCCTTGAGTCTGGATTCTGTAGAAGGAGACATGTCTGTGCTGTCGCTTCCTCCTGCACTCGAGTGGCCTCAGTGCCTTAGTGGAGATCCCTTGTCCTCTTTCCTTTGGTCAAGGGGATATAAAAGCTGGGATCGTAACTCAGTGTTAGAACACTTGCTTAGCATTTGCCGGGCCCTGAGTTCCAGCCCCAACCCTAAAAAAAGACAAGATTTCAATGTCTTAGGTCGGTCGGTGAGAGATGTTGGGATGCAGAGTCGTCACCCATTCATGCTATTCACTGAAAACTCAGGCCTCAGGGAATCTATAGTTAATATAGTGTTTTAAAAGATCAAAATTACATAAAAATATTCATGATGAACCAAATATCAAAAGTTTAAACAAAGACCAGTATGTAACAGTGGGATGCTGAGCCGTCCTGGAGGTTGAGTCTAAATGGAAAATCAGAAGAATGATCCTGTCTTGGTTTAAACTTTGGTATTCTGTTCATCATATGTTTTTTTGATTAATTTTAAGGAAATCGCATGAAGCTGGGTTCGGTAGCACATACCTGATAACCCCAGCAACTAGAGAGGCCAAGGCAGGAGGATCACAAGTTCGAGGACAGACTTGCCAACTTAGTGAGACCCTTTCTCAAAATAAAACCTTAAAAGGGCTGGGGATGTGGCTTAGTCTTAAAGTGCCCCTGGGTTTAATCCTCAGTTTCTTTACCTTGATTTCTGAGTACTTTGGCAACCCCTTTGATTTTGCATCCTTACACTGGTCCTGGTCCTTTCTGCTCCATGGTTTTCTATGCCAGGCAACAAGGTAGGAGCTGGCAAATAGATAAGATGATGATGGACAGGAATTTTCAGATTAGTGGGAGTCAGTCCTGCGAATAGTCACCACTCCACACAGTCACGATGCTGCCTGCTGCAGGTCGGGGAGGAGTGCTGGGGAGTCCGGGTTCTGGTAGGGGAGGCAGCTGGAGTGAGACTTTAGGAATGCCTGTGAGCTGGCCGGTGGATGTGTCAGAAAGTGGCAAGCCTCTCATCTGCTGCGCCTCGGTTTTCCTATGTACACAATACCGGAAGTACTAGCGCCTGTCTCACTGGAGCAAGTCATTATGTCAGGTGCCTAACAGAGCCTGGCATGCAGCTTAACATCTGTGGGTTGGGGCGGTGAGGGTGACCACCGTGTGCAGATGAACAGCAGTGTCCTTGGGCCCCTGACCGTGGTCTGAACTTTGCTTTGCAGACATCCATGACAGTGATGGCAGTTCCAGCAGCAGCCACCAGAGCCTCAAGACCACGGCCAAGTGGGCGACCTCCCTGGAGAGTCTGCTGGAAGACCCCGAAGGCGTGAAGAGATTCCGGGTTCGCCTTTCTCATTGTTAATTGGGATCGATGTGATGCATGAGTTTAGAGGGGTTTGGGGGGAAACAGGCTGATCCTGAACACTGTCCCAACTGGAGAGTCAGAACTTCTCATCTGTCGTGGTCATGTTGACAGCGCTCTCACAGATAGCCAGGGCGTGACACCAAGGGGCAGGTGGTCTGTCCCTGGTTTTCGTGGGGTGGGAGGCGATGGAGAGAAGGTACAGAACCCAGTGGTCTGTATGGAGAATTTCCATCCCTGGGCTGCCTGGGAGGTGTGGCCTAGGTCTCTCTGAAATGTCGATAGAGACAGTAGTGTCTTTGGAGAAGAGAACCTCCAAGAGGAGGCAGATGGGTGGGTATTGTCGGTGCCACCTAGAACCGACTTTTTCAGCCAGCAGACCTCTAAGTGCCCGTTGGAGGACCACATGGGAATTTTGAGAATGAACCTCAGCAACGTCTGTCTTTGAGGTGTGGGGCCAGGATGCTGTGGGTCCCTGTCAGGGAGAGAGTGGCAGGTTGTGCCAGGGCTTCTGGGTCCCAGATACCAAGCCACTGAGCATCATCTAGATGTGAGGGAAGCCTCCACACGGCCGAAATGCTGTCCATGCACCAACTTCCCAACCTCTGCCGAAAGAAAACACACTTCCAACTTAAAATAGCCGTCATTGTAGTGTTTTTTAGACATGCTTAATATGTTTTCTTTTCTTTTGTTTAAAAAAAAAAATGGGCCTGGTTTTGTAGGAATGTACTTTGTTTAAACAGTGGCTGGAAGGAACTAATACATTTCCCACTTTAATTTACTTTTTGGTAATTTATTGTCAGCTAAGAAATGCAAGTAGAGTCCTGCTTCATTTTTATTCTTCTCTACAGTGTCAAAGCCATTAAGGTCAAATGCATATGAAATTCTAGCTTTAACATTAAACATGCTCTTTATTTTCAGGGTGGAGTTCTCAAAGGATAATTGAACCAGCCTCATCTGTTGAATTTTTGCCAAATCATTTCTTGAAGGAAAATGCATCTTTTTTTTTCTTTTTAAGTAGAATACTGTATGATATTTTTTTCCTTTTGATTCATAGGAATTTTTGAAAAAGGAATTCAGTGAAGAAAATGTTTTGTTCTGGCTAGCATGTGAAGATTTTAAGAAATTGCAAGATAAAAAGCAGGTATTTCTTTCTACCTTGTGATCATTTTCTTGATCATGTTTTTCCTTTTTCTTATCCAGTTACAGCTGCTTGCCTCATAGATTTTGAAATTGCCTAAAGAAGCCTGATTTATATTAGACTTGGGGGAAAATTTAAGCTTCTGATTAGGTATCTTATGTTGATCAAATATTAATAATTTGAAAAAGAGGGTCAATCCACGTTTCAATGGAGCTGTCCAAATGGGCCAATATTTAGAGTAAAAATAATGATTTATGTCCTTTAGCATTTGCCATTGTGTGTGATCTTTCTCTTCATGAATAAGTCATGAGGATGCTTCCCCAGAGTTTGCCACGTTGGCATTTTTGGACATAGTAAAATGATCAGCAGATGAGTAGTGATAAAAGCACAGCGTTCATCAGATGGATTGTCAATTATTTAGTATATCTTTATAAGTGCTTTGTAGTTGGTAGACACCCCACACGAGAGTGTCTGATGGTTCTCCTAGTAGATGTGTGTTTTCTATTGGAGGTAGCCTTTAACTTCCCATGTTGGCTGCATTTTCTGCCATTGAAGGCTGGGTGTAAAGGAGGTGAGTGAGGTTAAGAAGGAGGCTTTAGATTGGTGGGTATGAGACCTGGTTTACAGGGCTACCAGCTCCGTGAGGCTGCTGGCTTGCAGATGTGGGGCCCGAGCTGCCTGTGTGGGGCTTGTGGCTGGCAGGGTTTCCTCTGTTCTGTCCCCACGAGCTCACTGATGGGGTGCTCAGGTGTTGGCTTGCTTACTCTTTGTCCCAGGGTCCCGTGGGGCCTTTTGTCCCAAGCTCCTTCTCCCTCTTGTCCACCCCTGCAGCTGGTTTTCCAGAGAAGCTGGACATTCGGGGTCTTATGTGAAACCATATTTGAACTCATTTTTAAAAAATTTAAAACCTTGCCTGCCCAACAAAACATCTCCACAGGCAGATGTGGCTTGTGGGCTGCCAGGGATGGAGTCTCCATCTCCAAAAGCCTGAATTCAGGGGGTCAGTTGCCATTGTCCACGGTCCACTGCTTGGAAAATGCCCAACGCTGGTTTGTTCTGAGGCTCTTCCAGGCTCAGATACGTTTTCCCCAAGAGGGAGCATTGTGGCCTTCCCTCCCCACCTCCTTCTCTGGAGCGACGAGGACAGATTCTAAGACAAATTGCCCACTGGGCAGGGCTCTTGTTTCTCTTGACGACTCTGACTAGAGCATCGTAGGTGGTGAAGGCCGCAGGGGGACGTGAGAGATGAGGGGACAGGTAAGATTCGGGGCTGGAGTTCTTCAGGGCAGGAGTGCTCCTGGTTCCCCTTTGTCCCCCACACCCAGGACAGGGCCCAGGGCCAGCAGTACCTGCTGGCCTGTGCAATGGATGTAACTAATCTCATAGCTCGGTGTCAGGGCTGAGTAGATGCCCATTGTTCTTAGAGTGTTAGGGCCAGCTCACCTGCAGTGTAGACAAGGAAGCTGAGGTCCCCCCGTGCTATGGCAAAGCTGGACTCAAACTAGTGCTCAGGTCACCCAGGCAAATGGCCTGCACGTCTGCTCCGTGTTCGTCTGTTCAGTTGAAGTCACCGCAACTGTGGGGAGCACCCGCTCAGCATCAGGCATCCTGAGAAGCCCTGGAGATACCTCATGGGTGAGCTGGATGAGCTGCTTTGGGGAGTAGACCTTGCAAGTGTGGTGAGAATAGAAATGGGAAGTGGGGGGCCTGTGGGAGCCTAGGCAGTGGGTGGTCACTGGGGCCCCTCAGGGGGAAGTGACTCAAAGCTGAGTCCTGAATTGGGGGCTGGGGGTGGGGGATAGTGTCCCCAAGGAGCTGGGACAGCATATGGGAAGACCAACCCTGTAAGATGACAAGGAGGTGGAAGGGTTCTGTTTGCAGAGGAGGCTGGGGACAGGTGTGGCCACACCTGGGAATCTGGGTGCCACAGCAAGGAGGTCACCTCAGGCCAAGGCCCTGGAAAGCCTCTGTAGGACTTCAGTGTCCATGGGGCAGGTATGGTATTAGGTGGCACTGCCTGTCCACACCCCAGAGAGAGGCATATAGAATAGGGCAGCCCCTCCCCATGCCCCCATCCCTGATGCCCATCTTAAGACTCTGGAAGGCTTAAGCCTGGAATGTGCCTGGCGATTACTTCAGTACCATGAATGTCACCTTCACCTGCCAGCTGCCTAAGAAAGCAGCTGGTGTTGGGAAGGACAGAGGCATCAATGACCCTGGGGTGTCCGGGCTCGGTGTGGGTCATTGCCTGAAGCCTCTCGACTGCTCCCATTCACAGGTGCAGGGATGTGGTCTGAGAGGTCAAGCAGCAGCTCACCTAAGGCCACCCAGTTTGTTGCACCAGGAAGCAGACCCGGGTCCCTGACTCCAGCCTGTGAGGTCTCTCTCCTGTGTCCTGCAGCACAGGAAGTAAAACTAGGGAGTCAGCGTAAGACAGTCTCTTATTTTCAGAAGCGGAGGAGGAGGACGAAGGCACTGGACTGGGCCTAACTGAATTTCGCAATCACACTTATCACATCTGGCCCAGCAGGGAGGCGTGGGAGGGTTTATCTCTGTAGTCAACTGAGGCAGTTGTGGGGTTGATGCAAATCTCGATTTTTGCCTCGGTTATTTTAAAGAGAACCTTGTTGGGTCTGTTTTTCATCCTTTGACTTGACTCATGCAGCACTCCCTGACTTCAGATAGCTTGTACAGTCGCTTGTTGGTTTCCTGGCTCTGTCTTTCCCTCTGTCGTGTGGCTTCATCTTCCCTGTGGTATCCGAGCCGCCTAGAATCAGGCCTGGACCACAGTGTGCTCTCACTTCCTGCATTCAGGCGATCAACCCCTGGGGGCTCCGCAGGCAGCAGGACTGTCCCCTGGCCCTGCAGTCTCAGCCGTGGCAATGGACTTTGAGGGCTGGACTCACATCCCATCCTGCTGGGGCTTTTATTCTCCAAAGCACGGAATAATAGAGCAGCACTGGCTCCCCACTGCCTTCCCGGGTCCCTGCTTTGTCACTTGGCCGGCAGGCAAAGCAGCCCCCTCGTTTAGTAGGGTCCTGACACTCTGCATTTATTGTGGGTCATGTGGGGGACTTAGAAAATTGTGAGGGTGACATGTCCCACCCTCTCCGTGGGGCCTCCGTGGTTGCTGTACCTTCCAGGTGTCACATCAGCACTTGGGTCCCAAAGCCCCTCCCTCCCATTCAATGTCTTTATGGTTGACATTTTTTTTTCTCTCAAGTGCCTTTCCTCCTTGAATTAGCACGGGAGCTATCGCTAGCTTTGAAAACAGACCAGCATCTGTGTCGTATGAGACCTCAGAAAAAACTCCAACAAGGTGTTTGTTCTTTGGCTGCCCGGTCTTCATTCATTCATCCGTCAGTCAGCACCCGCACAGCACAGTGGCCCGGTCTCTATGTGGCCGGGATTGCAACGGCTGGCAGCTGGTACAGATTTGTGAAAACCACACCGAGAGTGGGGGTGGGGCAAGGTTTCTAATGATCACAGCTCTGAGGGTGACTTGCCCTGGCCTTTCAACCTAACAGCACTTTGCATTTTAATAGTATGGTAGAGTCTACAGAGTTATGGGGGGTCCTGTGGTATTGGTTGTTTTTATCTCTTTTGTTTAATGCTGTCATTTGATCTCATTACTGAGTATGCTTTTAGGGATTTATTTATTTACTTTCTGTGGTGCTGGGATGAACCCAGGGCCTCAGGCTAGGCAAGCACTCTCTGTAAGTCCCCAGCCCTGTGGACTTTTTCTTTTTTTAAGTGTTTTTGAAAATTTCAAAGGTGACATATGCTCCTTGGAACAAATACATTCATTCAGTTCACAAGTGGGTATAATAAGGAGTCATTCTCTCTTCCCTCAGCACTTTCCGGAACTCCCTTGGCCTCTGGTTTGGGCATTCTTTCTGGCCTTAGCCTGTGCCATGTGACTTTTGTCCCCCGCTCCTACCCCACATGGGGAGTTCTACATAGAGCCACATCTCCAGTTCTTTTTATTTTTTATTTTATTATATACAACTTCTTCCTGCGGTAGCTCAGGGATTGCTTACTTAGATCTTTGTGACATTTTTATGATGAAGAATTTATTGCTTATTGTTTGCAAAGAGGTGCTTGCTTACTATTATAGTTTCCTTTTTTTTGGTTTTTTTTGGTACTGGAGATTGAACCTGGGATGCTTTTCCACTGAGCCACATCGACAACCCTTTTTATTTTGAGATAGGGTCTCACTAAGTTGCTGAGGACCTCCCTTGTTTGCTTAGGCTGGTCTCAATTTTACAATCCTCCTGCCTCATCCTCCCCAGTGACTGGGATTACAGGCGCCTGGCTTACCTTTTCCTTCTTGGACCATTTTTTGTTCTTCCAATATTCACATTCCCCACTGGCCCACAGCATTGTTCAGCTTGATGCTGTTAGGTTGTCCCTGTAGCCTGGCTTTCCTGGGGACAGCTCTCTGAACACTGCTCCACACTTCTGCCCTCTTTGTGCCACAAGGTAAAGGCTTCAGTTTCCGGGACCTGGTTCCTCCTCTGCCACATCATTCCCTTGTTTTGGTGGCACACAGCAACAGCTGAGAAAGGGACCTGGGCAGCTGGAGGTGTGAGGACAGTGGAGTGACAGTGTTAGTTTTTTCCATCTCTCCCAGTTCACTGATGTGTAGGAATTCTAGGTTGCAACTCACTGAGAATATTGCAGGCACAGTCACTTCTTGGCCTTCTGGCCAAGCTCAGGTTTAGAGTTTTGAGGACATTGTCCCACTGTCATCCTCTTCTTTTGGTAGAGTGATGGTGGTACCCGAGATTAAACCCGGGGCCTTGCTCATGCTCGGCAAGTGCTCTGCCGCGGAGCACACCTCAGACTGTTCCATTGCCTCCTGCTTCTCAGCATCAGTGTTTTATGTATAAGTTATTTTGCTTTGCTTTTTTCCCCTCTGGAATGGTATAGGATCTGCTTTTTGTTACAAAATTCTAAAATTGTATGATCAGGGGCTTTGAAGAGACATGGTCCATTAATTTTGTGGGCACTTTGTAAAGCCTCCTAATATGGAAATTTATAGTTCTTGTTCTCATGTTATTGCTATTATTTCTATTTTTTTTTTTTTTTCAATACCAAGGATTGAACCCAGGGGTGCATTATCACCGAGCCGCATCTGCAGCACTTTTTATATTTATTTTGAGACAGGGTCTCACTAAGTTGCTTAGGACCTCGCCACGTTGCTGAGGCTGGCTTTGAACTGACAATTCTCCTGCCTCAGCCTCCTGCGTTGCTAAGATGATGGCTTCTACTTTTTTTCTTTTTCTTTTTTTAGCTCCTTCCATTTGGGTGGCTTGTCTCTCCTCTGTCCTCTCTTTTCTTCCCTGAGACCAGGTCTCATTATGGTGTCCAGGCTGGTCTAGATCTTCTGTGCTCCAGGGATCTTCCCTCTTCAGCTGCCCAGTGGCTGGGACCCAGGGGGGCACCACCAAATCTGGTTCTGGTCTCTTTTCCAGTGGTGACCCTAATCCCTGGACTGAGCCCATAATTTTATTTATTCTTTCCTCCTTCTTTATCTATCTGGCATTTGGTCCCTACTGAAGATTTCAACTTTACCTTCATTTTCTGCTTTTATGTTTTTGTTTTCTCCAGATGAGGTCCCCCCGGTCTCTTCCTGGTGGGCCACAGGGCCATGTGTTCCTCTGTTGGGTGGGAGAGGTTGCTGGGGTCTATGTTTGATGCGTCACTGAGCCTCGTGAATCCCGTTTGGCAGCTCATCTTTGCCCTCCTTCCTGCCTCTGTCTGGAGCCCCCCTCAGTCAACTTCTTAAGGAAATTTCCATCTTCTGGAGGAAGGGAGCAGGGAGGTGGTCACTGCCTGGGGTTGGAGGCAGGGATCAAGGACCTGGGCGACTAACATCTTCCTTCTGCTGCCCTCCTTCTCCCTTCTACCTGGTGACCTGGTCCCTGCCCTTGGCCGTGCCTCTTGTCACCTCCTCCGAGCCCTGCAGGTGTCTGGGTTTGTTCTTCTTGCTGTCTGTCCCACCATCTGTTCCTCCTTCAGCCTCCTCCCATTTCTTGGCCAGTTCTCGGGAATTCTCTCCTATCATTTACTCAGTACTTTCTTTGCCTCATTCTCTTTCTGAAGTCGACGTGAACACAGTTGGTGGCTTGGTCCCCCAGGGCTCTTGTGCGTCATCTCCCATGGTGCCTCTGGCAGGGTCTCGGGATGGAGAGGGATGAGATGATGGGAAGTGCGTTCAGAGTGATGCGAGCAGAGCCAGAGAGAGCGTGGGGGCCGTGTGGGTGTCAGAGGGCGTCTGGTGTCCGTTTTTTGGAGGAGAGGCCATAGGACCTCTGACCAGCAGGGACACCCCTGCTCTTGGTAAAAAGGTTGCTGTGTTAATGGGACATCCCTGTCCACACTGCTAGGGATCAGTTGGCATATGGGCCTGGGGGAGAATGTTGGGCCGAAACCTTGGCAGAGCATGTAGTTGGGGAACCCCAGGATTTAGGGAGGGGACAGAGGGACAAGAGCCCAAAGAAGATAGGAAGAAAGAGGTGTTGGAAACTCCTGAGGCCATTGGAGGGTGGGAGCTAGGGAAGAAGGTAGGACAGGTGTGCAGGGCGGGGGGCCAGGGTGAGGCCCAGAGAGTGTCTGGGCTCTTGGGCTGAGCTGGCTGGTGGCAGAGGAGCTGCTGGGAGGGAAGAGGAAGACTCCAGCGCATACTTTTCTTGTGGGATGTTTCCATAGAAGCTGGGGACGTGGAGGCCATTAGTCATGGGGATGTGAAGTCAAAGCAGATTTTCATGTTCCTAGTGGGAAACAGCTGCATGTTTCCCGAGTAAGGGAGAGGAACCCACAGGCCCAGCCACGTCCTTCCCTGTGCTGGGTGAGCAGGGCTTTGCTGTTGAGTGGAGGGTGTCTCTGGGTCTCAGAATGAGTTCACTTGATGCATTGTGGGCAAGCAGAGGCATTGCCAGGAAAGGCCCAGACTGGGGGAGCCTGAAAGGAGCTCGCCGGGGTGCAGACATTGCCATCCACAGTCCCCGACCTGGAAGGCCCAGGCAGGGTCCTTTTGTAGCACCTTCGGGGGTGTGTTGGAAGCTGGGCTCATTAGGTCTCCTCAGGGAGCGAGAGGCCCTGTCTAGGCTGTGATCTGGCGTGTCTCAGGGCCATGGAAGAGAAGCTGGCCTCTTTTTCAGATCACAGACCCCAAATCGACCCCACCAGGGATGGCTGTCCTCTTCCTATCCTAACAGCAGCCAGAATAGGGTTAACAAAGCTCTGGAAAAATGTACCAAGATAGCTCAAGTGACTGGTTCTTCTTTTTTGTTCAGTGTTCTCGGTCTGGACAGCAGGCCTTCCCGTGACCGGCTTGTGGTCGGCGGTCTCGGGGCTTCCCTTTTCGGTCATGCTTCCTATCCTGGCTCAGATAAGCTCTGCTGCTCGGCCATTCCTCAGGGCATGTGATGGGGGCAGGCCTGAGGCAGGTCCGGGACCCCCTGAGACCTAGGAGGGGCGGCTGGTGGGAGAGGTGAGTCTGGGTCCTGGGGCTTGTATACCTGTAGACCTGCCACCTGTTTCCTGCCCTGTGGCCTGCTGCCCCCACCTCAATCTCAGGCCGCTCATTACCCGGCTCTTTCTTGAACTACTTAAGAGAGCCTGGATTCCCATGGGCAGTGTGTGCGCATGTGTGCATGTGTGTGCTATGGTGTGTGTGTGAGTGTTCTAGGGAAGGGAAGGCCTTCTGCCCACAGGGCTCTGCATGGAGTTAGCTAATCTGACAGCCTGAAATTCTACTTTTGTGAAGTAGCTGTAAAACAGGAAGTGGTTTTCCAAAAATGTTCCTTCCTGACAGGGCAGGGGGTGGTGGGAGGAAGACTCTTGGCTCCATAGAGAGGATGGGTCTTTGAGAGGTGCAGAGTACAAAGTGCTGCTCCCCTGGGCCTCGCTGATGATCCCCAGACCTGTCCTTGGAACATCCATATTTACCTTAAGAGGCTCCTTGTCCCTGAGTTTGACATCAACTGGTTGTTTATGTTGATAGTCAAGAAAGAACAGACTCCAGGACTTGGGGGAGTCGACCCCCACCCAGGCCGTCTTCCTGTAAGCACTGGCGAGGCTCGCTTTCCCAGGGGACCCTGGTCAAGCCGCAGCCTAGTGGGGTCTTCTAGTCTCTGGAACCACAAAAGTTCTTTCCCCCCTGTTTTTAAGCATCAGTTTTAGAACACTTTGGGCGGTTTCCATAAGACCAGAAGGTTTTCAGAGCCTAGAATTTTCTAAGCCAAGCTCCATAGCGTACTCAGAGCCCCAGAAGGCTCTCTGGAGAGAAAGGCAGATTTCCAGGCCGCCCCCCCAGCCCCCTCGCCTCCCTGAGAGGCTGCAGTTCAGAGCCCTTTCTGGGGGCCTTCTCCGCAGGGTATGGTGATGACTTACTTGTGATGTTTGGAGAAATGCCTGTCTTAGCTGCAGGTGAGGCAGGGGCACAGGAAGTCTCCTTTCTCTCAAAGAAAATAGACCTCTCAGGGGAAGTCCACAGGTCTGCAGCCCCAACACATTGTTTTGAAGAAAAAGTGCTCACCGTGAAGCCGGGCTCCTTCCCATGGGGGTACGTTCCACTCCCACCCCAGCTGGGTTTGGGTGCAGCCACAGTGCTGATGGGTGGGCATCTTGTCGTCTCTGCTGCCTGACCTCCTCAGGGCTCGGCTTCCTGGCAGGACTGCACTGGGACTTCAGGGGGGCCGTGAGCGAGCACAGCCTGTCCCGGAGGATGACAGGCTGCACCTGCAGAGGTCGCTGTGCTTCTTAGGCAGGGAACTGGGTGGAACTGAAGGCTTTGGAGCCGTGTCCTGAGCCTGCTGCACCCATCACCTGTCCTGGCCCTGTCCTCATCAGGAGAGGGGCTTATGGGAAATGGCACTTTGCTGGGTGTTCAGGGAACTGAGGAAATGGGAGTCACCTAGAAGGTGTCTGTACCCTATAGAGCAGGTGCTGGCTGGATCCCTGGTGGGCATGTGAACTAGGTTTACCTTGACCTCCTTATTTCAGTGCTGGGGATTAAACCCAGGGCTCACGCATATTAAGCACGTGCTCTACCACTGAGCTACACCCTCGGCCCTTGACTTCTTTCACTGTGGTAAAATATACCTAGTAGGAAGCTCACCATTTTGACCATTTTCAGTGTCTCACTATACCTTTCAAAACGTTTAAAGGGTGCACCTCAGTGGAATTGAGTACATTCGTAGTGTTGTACTAGTGTCACCACTGTGTAGTTCCAGAACTCTTTTTTATCACCAGACAGAAACACCATTCTCATCAAGCGGTCCTCTCTCTTTCTTCCTTCTCCCAACACGTGGTGACCACTAATCTTTCTGTCTCTGGATTCACCTATTCTGCACAGTTCATGTGAATGGAATCATATGGTGCATATCTTCCTGTATCTGGTTTCTTTCACTTAGCATAATGTTTTCAAGGTTTATTCGTTCATTGGAGTATATATCAGTGCTTCATTCCTTCTTGTGACTTAATAAGATCCCCAGGAGCCCTTAATTTGGAGGATGTATCCCAGGTCCTGAATGGTAGTGAGGGCTCACTCTGGGTCAGGGTACTTTCTCATCATTTCTGAGTGGTTAGTGGAGATGCGGCCACAGACACACAAGTAGGGCGGAGGGTGGGGCTGGACGCCATGAGCCCACTTGGGGGTCCTGAGTGGCAGCTAGAGCTCCCAAGGCTGCAACTGCTCTGAGCCTGGTCATAGGGCAGAGTAGGGGCTCAGGCAGGGAAGGGCTGTGTCTGCAGGTAACGGACAGCCCCCTCTGTCTCCGCCAGATGCAGGAAAAGGCCAAGGAGATCTACGTGACCTTTCTGTCCAACAAGGCCTCATCCCAAGTCAACGTGGAGGGGCAGTCTCGGCTCAACGAAAAGATCCTGGAAGAACCACATCCTCTGATGTTCCAGAAACTCCAGGACCAGGTAATCCGACTTCCCTGACGGCACCTTGGTTTAAAAACCCACATTCAATCCAGGCTGGAGGATTCAGTGCAGCACCAAACGTCAGGCTCCCAGGAAACTCTCATCCCCTTGGGCAGGCTGAAGCGCCCCGAGCGGCCCTGGCTGGTGAAGGGTCAGGACTGACCTGTGGGACGCTCCCTTGAGCTCCGTTTCCTCTTAGTCTGCACACTGTTTGAACCAGCAGGGTTTTCTGTGCCTCCTCAACCCAGATGAGAAGGGAGGCTGGGGCTGTTTGAGGAACCCACACTGAACAAGCAGCATGTGGTAACTGCGACAGGACAAACTGGGACATCTGGAAGGCAAGTGCAAAGCCTCCAAGTGGCAGGGCACCTGCTGACGTTGTGTGCAAACATCCAAACTGCTGATGGCCCCGTGCTGTAAGCTGGTTTAGAATGTAGCTCCTGGGTCATAATGACAAAGTGGACATTTGGCAGCATATTCCACTTAAAACAGGAAAAATTAGGCTTAAAAACGGACCTGTAAATGGGTAAACTTTAAGTGTTCTGGCAGATTTTTTTTGCAAGAAATCTAAGTGGTAACAGATAAGGGGATGGGATCGTAGATAGGAATCTACAGGTGAGACTGTTCATATCATGCTTCCTTGCTCTGAAGTGTTCTAACCACACCACGGACAGACCAGTTTCACACTCCTGCTGGCCCATCCTTACTGAGGAAGAAAAGGTCTTACTTACCTGGCAGCAACGGGTGGGGACCAGCTTCCAGCTTAGCTCAGCAAGCCCAGAATCACCTGAAGGATGTGTTAAAACAGACGCACCCCCCACCCCCTGCCCCCGGTTAGCATGCAGCTATGAGGGTTCCAAAGGCAGGGACTAGCTCCCCATGAGTTCCCAGGGTGAGTTCATGCTGCAAGCCTGGGGCTACACTTTGAGAACCATGGACCCTGTGTGTTGCTTGGCCTTTTTTGATCATGTGCTGTGTGCCCAGAGCCCTCACAGGAAGAAAATAAAAATGTAAGAAGTAATTTGAAAATGTTTTCCAGTTGACACAATGCTCAGTGTGAATTCCATACAGATTTTGAATCAGATTGGAGTGTTGAAAAAATTCCAGTCCTCCTGGGAGTCTTATTGAGGGCCTCCTGGAGATGGTGGTTTGAGGCCTTTGGGAAGGATGCTGCGGACATGAATTTGTGGAGGGAAAGGAAGTGCAATGTACGGTGGCCACGTGGAAATATCCGCCCCACTCTGGACCTCAGCATCTTTTATGAGCTTCCTACAGTACTTTATTTTTAATTTTATTATAATTAATTTGTGTGTGTGTTTGTGGTACTAGGGATTGAACCCAAAGGCTGTACCACTGACCTACATCTCCAGCCCTTTGTTATTTTTTTATTTTGAGACGGCGGGTCTTGTTACATTGTTGAGGTTAGCCTCAAACTTGGATCCTCCTGTCTCAGCCTCCTGAGTCACTGGGATTACAGGCAAATGCTATTCCTAAAGTGCTTTAAAGAGCAGCCAGGGTTGAGCACCTGGGCTGGCCCCTGTGTTCTAGATATTCTTAATAATAGCAGTACCTGTGATTTAGGAGCTGTCCCTTGAGCCTGGTGCCTCCCTTGGCAAGTATCAGCTCGTCTAAGCTCCAGTGAGAAGTATTGTTTCCATTTTGCTGATGAGAAGAACAAGGCTCGGGGAGAACCAATAGTCAGTTAGTTGAACGTCACTTGAGCAGTAGAAGGTGCCGGAGGCTGGATTCACTCTCACCCACCTGCCTTCCAAGGCCTGTGTTGGTCTCCCAGCTCCTGGGCAGCCTCTCATTGCTGCTCAGAGGCCCCTGAGGCCCTGGAGCAGAGCAGGTGGAAAGACTGTGGGGGCACGGGCTGAGCAAGGCAGGAGCAAGAGGAGAGGGGCTGATGGGACTCTGTGGTGGCACCCAGGCTCCCAGATATCCAGCTCTCCTGGGAGATGTCCAGTGGAGCCCTGTGACCCCCACACACCCCAGCAGAGGCAGCCACTGGGGGCTCAACTGCCACAGAAAAGAGGAACATGGGGGAGAGAGGATTTTTTTTTTAACTTTTCATTTTGTGGTACTGGGGATTGAACCCAGAGGTCCTCTACCACCAAGCCACAAGCCATACCTCCATCCCCTCTTTAAAATGTTCTTTTGGGGGGGTTCAAGATAGTGTTGCTAAGTAGCTGAGGCTTGCCTTAGACTTGTGATCCTCCTGCTTGAGTTGCTGGAATTGCAGGCCAAAGAAAAGCTTGAAAAAAATAACTTTTATCCACCTAATTTCGTAACTCATGCATGCTCAACCAAAGAAACTGGACACTAACCCTGTCGTGGCTCCATACCTGGAGATAATGACTAGATAACATTTGCCCTCTAGATGGTCCATCTTTTCCCCCATATAGATCCACAAATGTGCACTGCAGAACGAACGTGGCGTCATGCGGTTCAACTGTTGAATGTAAAGAAAGTTCATTCACATCCTCTGGTTCAAAATGATTTACCTGGGGGCTGGGGGTAGAGCTCAGTTGGTAGAGTGCTTGCCTTGCATGCCCAGGCCCTGGGTTCAATCCCCAGCAACAACAAAAAAAAGATCTACCTGGGAGGGAGAAAGAGGCACTAACCGTCCTCCTAAGGCACAGTTGGTGCTACTCCAGGACCCCTGGGGTACCAGAACCCATGTGCTCAGGTCCCTGATGGCCATGGTGTGTATTTGCGTTAACTGCACACATCTTCCTGTATGCTTTGAGTCATCTCTAGGTCACTTATAACAGCGAATGTGTGAATCACTGTCACGCTGTGTCTCTTAGGGAGGAAGGACAAGGAGGAGGAGCCTGCACGCGTCTGGCACAAATGCGTTTTTATTTTTCTGAATATTTTTGTTCTGCGGTTGGTTGAATCCACGGGTGCGGAATCTGCGGATGCAGGGGGCTGATTGGGAATTCCCAGCAAGTCCCTGGGAAGGGCCTCTGGGTTCTGTTTCACTTTGGGAAACTGCCTGTCAGGGGCCTGGCTGCCCCCTGGGAGAATGCGCCTCAGCACCGTCTGCGACTTTCTTCCCAGAGGCTCCCTCGAGGGCCCTGTTTTCCCAAGTGAAGGAGACGAAAGGTGTGGGAAACATGGCTGGGACCCAGGAGTTCACAGAGCACTGCTCGGCTTCACAGGGCTCCTAGCCCCCTGGCCAGGGGAGCCCCAGGTGCCCCCGGCTGCTGCGGGGCTGCTGTAGAGTAGTGGGAGTAGTGGGTGGGAAAAGCCTCCCTGAGGCCCGGGGCCTCTGCGTCCTGCTCAAGGCCTCTGGCTTGTGTTCAGGTCCCGCTGACTCGTGGTTCACAGTCCTCCCAGGTTTGTTCTTGGGAGAGGCTGTCAAGGGTCCGCGGAGGCTGTGGAACAGTGGGCAGTGGGAAGGGTGATTACCAGCCAGCAGGGAGACGGAAAGCGATACTACACACAAAACCACAGCACGGCGGTAGGGGGCCAGAGCGTGTGGGAGCCCACGATGCCACACACCACACTGTGGCCTCCCTGGGCTTGTAGGAGGGTGATGTGATCAGGGAGCCTCCTGACCCCAAACCATCAAGAAGAGTCAAATGATGGTCAGTGTACTGTGTGAGGAATGTGGTGTACAGTTTAAGAAGCATTTCATCAAAAGCAACATCTTAGAGGATGTTTGGGGTTTAAAACTTGGTTACATGGAAAATTCATGTGAGCAGAGAGAGTGTGCTCTGATTTAACTCGCAAACTTGGCTGGTCATACGCCCCACCCTGCTGGCTAAGCTGGGAGAGACAGGAGGTGGGCTGCAGCCCTCTCTTTGGTACTTCAGCCCAGAGGCGAAGGCTGCTCTGGACACCTACCAAGGGTTGGTTTCATCAGTGAATTTCAGATCTTTATGGGTCTTCCCCCCACCCCCCACCTTTCTTTCTTTTAAAGATCCACTGCTGCGAGGTGGTTCTGCTTCGATTCTGGCTCTTTCTGGTTTGTGGATTTGTTCTTCCATTCCTTCCTTTATGCTGCCGATATTGACTGAGGTCCTACTACATAGCAGGGACTGAGCTAAGGGCTGCATGAGCAGTCAGGAACTCAGCTCCTATCCTCCACGACTACAGACAGGGACAAACGTGAAGAAGGAAATGCAGTCGCCAAGAGATGGCCAGGAATGGCAAGGAGGGGCTGCTCTGAGCCTGCTGGTCCCTGGAGAGACCACTAAGACCTGAAAGACAGGGAGGCAGGATTTCCCAGGATGAGGCAAGACCCTGAGGCAGGCTGCTGGGTATGGTGGGGACATTCGTGTGCTGGGTACAGCAAGAGATGGGGATGGAAGCTGAGTTGGGAGGGCTTGGACCCATCAGGCTGCCATTTACTTGTGGGGATTTTGAATGGTGGTTATTTATAGGATGGGCCAGTTGGACTAATAGGGTTTGATTCTCTTGAAAGCTGTGCCCCTTGGCTGCACAAGAGAGAGCAGATGACTCAGTGTAGAGCTGTTTCTTTTTCTAGAAAGCCAACTCTGAACTTTGACCTCCTGACCAAGACTCACTGTTTGAATTGGGTGGCCTGGGGCTCAGGCCACCTCCCCCACAAGGGCTTGTCACTTCCCAGACGCTGAGCTCAGATTCACCATCATGTGTCTTAGGTTGGCCCTCAACACCAGAGAGGGAAGAGGTGGCTCATAGCCAGTCCTGCCCCGGGCCCCGGGTTCTGTTTCTTTGTGACGCTTTCGTGTCCCTGCCTGTGATATGGGGCTTCGGTAGCCCTGCTGCCTCCCTGAGCTGTCCAGTAAAGCAGTCGACCATGCCACACCTCAGTCCTGTCTTCGCCCCTGGTAGTCACAGCCTCGTTTCCTTGGTCTGAGCTCCCCTCCCCCAGCTTCTTTGACTTCAGGATTTAGCAGCTGTTTGAACTTGGACAAGATGCTTCTCCTCTCTGTGCCTTGATTTCCTCATTGATGGAACCGGGGATCCAATAAGGTGGTTTGAGGTGCAGTGTGGCCTGTCTGTGGGGCGCTTCCTTCAGTGCCTGGCTGCGTCCAGCCCTCTGTGACGGTCACTGTGTGTCCCCTGCACTGTACTGGGAAGCTGAACTTAAGGTAAGTGTGTGGTTCTTAACTGGGGGCGATTTTGCTGATGTGGGCCAGTGTCTGGAGACATTTTGGTTGTCACGACTGGGACACAGGTGCTACTGGCATCTAGGGACAGAGGCCTGGACTGCTGCTTAATACCCTGCAGCGCACAGGATGGGCCCCCAAGACAGAATTCTGTGCTCCATAATGTGGACAGGGCAATCCCGGCTCCACGTGACTTCTCCACACGTGGCAGGGTGCCGTACCCTCCCTCAGCCTCAGGTCCCACCTGAAAAGCAGCAACAATGTTCACATGGTTGTTTTTTTCTTAAGTACTGGGGATTAAACAGGGGTTTAACCACTGAGCCACATCCCCAGATCTTTTTTATTTTTTATTTAGAGACAGGGTCTCACTAAGTTGCTTAGGGCCTTGCTAAATCGCTGAGGCTGGCTTTGAACTTGCGATCTTCCTGCCTCAGCCTCCCGAGTGGCTGGGGTTAGAGGCGTGCGCCACCATGCCCCCAGCTCCACATTAGTTTTTGACACCTTGACAAGTTCCAGGGAGATGACAAGACTAAACCCCTTCAGTTTCCACGGTGCTTTTGCAGGTGCATCTGTTTGGCCGTCAGGTGGTTTTGTGGAAGGAGGGACCTGGCACCTTGGCCTGCAGAGGAGGTAGTTCACAAGTTGGGGCTGCTGTGCCCAGCTCATTGTCATGAGAATGGGACCTCGAGCTCAGGGCCTCTGGCTCAGCTCTTCCTGTCACACTGCTTCCGTGACAGCCATTCCCCATGTAAAGCAGGAACCTTTGGAGACGTGGCTTCCCCTTGAGTTCTTATCTTTTCCCTCCTGTCCGAGGCACTGCCTCCCCATCATGGCTGCTGTAGGGCACTGTCTTTGGCATTTCGTGACCACCCTTCCCTCCTGCCATCCTGCCCACATTCCTCTCCCTTGCCGTCCAGTCCTCCTTCGCTCCAGCCGTGGCTGGTTCATAAGCATTTCCTTCACTTGCTGAGACTCTGGGAGTCGGCCACAGCGCAGGGGACAGACAGGCACCGTGGACTGCACTGAGGGCAGCAGTGTGTCCTGCTGCTAACCGGCATGGCTGGCAGCTCCTCAGAGGATGGAAGAGGCTGCCCAGGAGCCAGCGAGCAGGAACCCGCTGAGCGTGAATCATCCTGTTACTGTGTCTCTGGGAATTTCAAACAAATTAATTTTTAAAATGAGTTTGAATTTTTACATCGGCACAGCATCGCTGTTAAGAAAGAAAAGAAAGTTCCTGCAACCCAGGAGGGTCCAATGCAAAGTGAAATCTTCCAGGCCCTGCCTCTCGCCACTCTCCCCACTAGCGGGAAGTCCTTTAGGTTGTCTGTCCTCAGGGTCGTGCCACAGCAAAGATGTAGAACAGAATTCTGCTCCAGCCAGTTTCTCAGCTCCGACTTATGCAGCTCTCTCCTCCAAAGCCCCGGGTTTGAATTTCACCACACACCTGGGTCTGTTCCCCTGGAACCCATTGTGATTTATAGAGGCAGACAGGTCTGGTTCATTGCCAATGGCGGCTTGTAATCCTCACTTTCTTGGGCCATGTAGAAGGACGGCGCAGGTCTGGAGGGAGAGGGGTGCTCTTTCTTGTCCTGTGAACTTCAGGGACCCCTGGCCTGCATGCTGCTGGGCTGCCCTCCCTGGGCTTCAAGGCTGCTGCTGCTCTGGACCCGGAGGGTTGGGTGCGGACGGCTGTCTCAAGAGGAAGTCCTCACCCTCAGAGGCTGAAGAAAAACATTTAAAAGGCTTCGGTGAGATGCAGCGCTCCTGGCCACATCCTTGACAGACAAAGGAACGTGCCCCCCTTTGGGGCAGTGTCATCTCTCTGAATTTCCCTAGAACCACAAAGTGAGAAACAAATGCTTCCTTTTTTGGCATCGATAAGGAGGGGTGGAGCAGCTGGCAAGTGGGGTAGAAGAGGGGCTGCCTGGCCTGCAGGGTCATCTGGGGGCCACTTCCCCCAGCCCCGAGCAGGACCTCAGCCTGAGCTCCCCTGCTTGACTGTGGCCCCTGCTCCCAGGCTGAGGTGGTGGCCAGAGCTGAGATTCAGATCATCCCTGCCTGGTGGTGCAGGAAGACATTTGTTACCAAAGATCAGACCAAGCCCAGAAATGGGTGTTTTTCCAGTGTGCTCAGCTGGAAAACAGCTTGTGGTTTTCCCTTCAAATGGAAGAAAAGGTGGCTCCTGCATCTACGTGGTCCTGTGCCTCCTGAGAGCTGGGGCGTGCAGGAGAGCATTTGAAATGCTTTTAGATTTTTCTTAGAACTTGAAAATGGCGTGCAGGGGAGAACAGGTGCTGGAAGAGCACTTAACTCTCCTTCCAGGGACCAAAGGCAAAGATAAAATGCCTTTTCTCTAAGTAAATGCCCAACCTGTCACTGGGCTTTGAATTTGAGTATCTTGACTCCAGGAAAAGGTGAACAGCCTGCCCCATGTGCAGGGCTCTGCTCCTACAGGCCTGGGGCATTTCCATCTCTCGCAGGGGCTCTCAGACTCTGTGCATGCCCAGCCCCCTCTCGAGTTCTGATTCCACCCTGGCCTGTTGTCCGTCTCTGGCGGGCATGTCTACAGCGAGGAATGCTGTCCAGCACTACAGAACCGTGCACACGTGCCTGCCCTGGTGCTTGGGGACAAGGGCCGGCCTGAGCTGTCTGACTCGTTCGCAGTCTGTGTCTGCTCTCGACCTCCTGCAGCACCTGCTCCTGCCTCAGGGAGGGAGAGCGGTCTTCATCTTGGGGTGGGCAGTCCCTGTTTGTGCCTCTCCTGTGCAATCTTCGGGTCCCCAGTTGATTCTGTCAATCATGCCAGGCGCACAGGTAGAGGGGCTTCCTCCTTTCTACTTCCTGTCTGTTCACTTGGCTGGGAAAGTAAGTCTGTAGTCTTGGTATGGGGGAGAGAGGACACATTCTAGAACTTTAACTGCTTAATTTGCATACAAAAACTAGACCAAATTTTTGAAGCAAATATGAAATCCTTCTTAAAAAAAAAAACTTTGTGCATTGAAGGATTATTTTTTTTTCCTCGTGTGGGTTGAAATAACCTGGCAGAGGGTTTTGAAGAGAAGGGAGATGCAGTTTTCATTTAGGTCCTCTAATGTGCTTGTCTTCTGAGAGGTCTTAAAATATTTATTAGGCTTCACATACAGTGAATCAGAGCAGTGATGGAACGAACGCTGAGCCCCGTTCTCTGTTGACAGGGGTGGGGGAGGGTGGGGTGCTTCTGTGGTCAAGTCCTTTCCTGGCGCAGTCCATTTGGAATAGTCCAAGATGCGCTGTGCTGAGATTGGGGTGGGTGTGGCACCTGGTGGGATAAGGACCCTGTGCTGGAAGAGTTGCCCTTGGGCAACTCTCTCTCCCCTCCCAGGCCCACCTCCAGCCGCCTGCAGGACTGGATCCCAAGGCCGTGCTGCTCAAGATTACACTGTAGGCATGCGGCTCACAGATGTGGAGCTGCCAGAATTTGGAACCTTTAAGCCACAGCTGTGTTGGCCAGGGCATGGGGTAGGCAGGGGCGGGGGAGATGCAGAGAGCAACTCAGCTGCCAACTTGAGTTTTCTGCTTCACTGGCTGCCTGTCCCTGGGACCCATCATCTGCTCTGACTCCGCTCCGATGCCTTCTGCCCACCTTGAGTCTCAGGCCAGACTGGTCTCCATTTTCTTCCCTGCAGACAGTTGAAGGATTCTTATCGTGTTTAGGTGCTGGTCACAGTTCACCCAGGGAAGCCAGCTCCCCACCAGAGTCCTGGTTTGGTAGAACCATCTGAGACCCTGAGGGCAGCTTTTTTCTGTATCTGAGCAGGACTGGGATGAGATGGGTCTGATGTTACTAGTGTCCTAGGGTGTGGTAACACGTGACCACAACCTGAGTGGCTTAAAACAGCAGCAACTTCTTCCAGGTCAGGAGGCTGGAAATCTGAAGTCAAGGTGTCGTCAGGGCTGTGCTCCTTCTGAGGGGCCTTCCTTGTGTCTTCCAGCTTGCAGATCGCCGTGGCTGCCAGCACACAGATCTCCACCTGTCTTCACATGGCCACCTCCCTGTGTGTCTCAGTGTGTCCTTTTCTGAAGAGGACACCAGTCCTTGGATGGGGACCCACCCTAAATGCAACGCGGCTTTATCATTGCATCCTTTACCAGCCCTATTTCCAAATAAAGTCACATTTTGAGATTCCAGGTGGACATACATTGGAGGGACATTCTTCAACCAGCTACTGACCTTTAAAGATATTTATTTTCCTCTTATGCACATGAACACACAGTTGAACATACCTGGGGTCATTGTTTTTAGATTTAATGTCATTGGTATTTAATATTCAGTCAGTTAACACTCATGGGTAGTTTTGCAAGCTCAATTCTTTTCAGACCTTATTTTTGATGACTGTGTATTCTGCCATGGGAGTGGCCAGTGCCTGGTGGTGTGGGCTGGGGAGCTACCCAGCTAGAGTTGGCACCCCTCACATCCCTTGCTTACTGTTGAAATGTGGCCCCACCACCACCAGTTCATATGTTGAAGTCCTATCCCCCATTACTTTAGAATGTGACTGTATTTGGAGATGGCCCATAAGTGGGTGTAATTAAGTTAAATGAGGTCATTGGAGTGGACCCTAATCCAACCTGACTTGAGTGTTTATAAGAAGAGGAGATTCAGACCCAGACACATACAGGGGGATGACCATGTGAGGACGGAGAAAAGATGACCATCTACAACCCGGGAGAGAAGCTTCAGAAGAAACCATCCCTGTTGGCATTTGGACTTCTGGCCTTCAGAACTGTGAGAGACTGTGTGTAGTACTTGTTATAGCAGCCAGAGCTGACCCATACACTCACCATCAGGCAAAGTACTGAGCCCCAAGCCCCCATTTCCTTCTCCGTAAAATCAAGGTCCTTGAGAATGTCTGAGAGAACTCACGGTCCATTGCCTGGCGGTGGTCACGTCTTGGTAGTGTTGGTCCTGGCCTGGTTCACTTCATCAGCCTCTGCTGTGCACACTGGGTGGTTTCTGGTCACTCGTGGAAAAACATTTATTGGATCCCTTCATGGCCATTTGTCCTAAGATAAATAACAATGTGGTCTGTGGCTGGGTACACTGCCTTTTCTTGGGATTGATTTTTAGGCGCCTCTGTGTCCTCTTGGCTGTCTTCCTGAGTCCACAAGGAGCTCTGCGGTGGGAGTGGGAAGCTCCTAAGCCCATGCCTGGGAGGCCCATTGCTGGTGGGAGTGGGAAGCTGGCTCTGGACCCCATGTAGTGCCATCAGGCTGCTCACAGCCAGAAGGATGAGGCCAGTGGAAGCCACATCCTTTCCTTTTTAAAATCTGTCTAGGCCTCATGGCCACAGCTGCTTCCTGGTGAGTCTGTGGCACTGGGAGGTGGGGAGGCCCCGGGGCAGGTAGCCTCAGCCTGAAGGACTTCTGGGCTTGCTGGGGCATTTCACACCTGCCGCAGCAGGGAGTGGCCCTCAGGCCCTTTTGACATAGTTCCTGCCCCTTCCTGCTGAGCTGGCATCCAGGAGGGATGGCGAGAGGGGCCCGCGGCCTCTTGGGATCTCCTGGTGGCCGTTGCAGCATCTGAGCACCCTCTCAGCCAGGCAGCCTCCTGCCTCCCCGCCCTCCAGCCCTGGGTGCCTCCAGAGCAGCCCTTTTTCTGTTCTCCTTTGAAGTCTGAGCCTCAGAGCCACTACAGACAAACAGGATGTTCCTCTCCCACACACGGAGACTTCGTGTGTGGGAGAGGAGGTCACACCGCATCCTGCCCTGAGTGGTGGGTCCCATTCACTGTGGATCTGGGGGCGTGAGGGGATACAGGCTGCATGCCCCGGGGGCCTCACAAAGCCAGTTCCTTTAGTCACACTTTGAACATCTGTTCTGGACTTTCAACTTATAGGTATCTAGAAGGTCCCTCTGGGGACCCTGTGCCCAGCAAGGCTGAACAGGGCAGGTGGTGAGGGACAGTGACACCTGCTTTGCACGTTTGTGGGAGGCCATGAAAGGGTAATGGCCTTCCTCATCTCAAGCCTCATCCCTGGCTAGGATTTTTGCATCTTCTGGGATTTTAAAAAATAGTTTCTCCAAACCTCAGCAAATCATAATCACACATAGGATTACAAGATTGCTTCAAAATAGATCAGTGCTCTAAAGAGCTTGGGCAAGGCTGGAAGGGCAGTTTAAAGAGCACCCAGCTTCCTTGAATCCTTCCTGGCCGTGGGCTGGACTTACTGCAGCATGACCTGGGTGGTTGGGTTCTCCTGCAGTTGCAGCCAACTTTGGAAAATGAAGGTATGAAGGCTGAAGGTTCCAGTTGTTTCCAAAGGCATTGCCCATCCCCCAAGTCGATGTTCTGAGATCTTAGAATCCATCTGATATTTAGTTTACAAAACTCTGTGTTGACCGAGGGTGGGTTTAAAAGATGTCAGGATTTTACCACTCACTTGACAACCCCGCCTGACGGTGAGCAACCTTCTAGGCTCTTCTGAAACTTTCTGCTTGTTGGAGCCTGTGTTTGTGCTGAAAGAGAACGCACCTTGGGTGCACTGTGGATGTTTAGATCTCAGATGTCCTGAAAATTGACAGGTGAGGGAGGGAAATAAAGGGCGAGGGCTTTCTTAAAAAGAGATTGTCCATACAGAAGAAAAGGATTTGCTTTCCTTCCCTACCCACGCTGCAGGTGAGGAGGAGGACAGGCAGCCTGGGATTGGTTGCTGGGAGTTCTGTTCTGCTACCTCCAGCTCTTAGAGAAATGCATCCCTGTATTATCTCTCCAGATATAGTGGCAATTCTTAAAGGGCCCTTTCATACGAAGGTATGAATCAGTGCAGCGTGAATCTGTTCTGCCGTGCAAAATAAAGACATATTTGTTCATGTGACTCTCTAAGCTATATGTTCCATTGAAATGATTGCATAATGACCAGGAAATTTGCCTCATCTAGCGCATGCCTTACTTTAGCTTTCTTTGTGTATTCTTTGGCACACGGTAGGTATTTAATAAATATTTGATAGGATGATTCATGGCCTGGATTAGCTGCAGCCCTCAGACTCTTTCTCTTTCCTCCTCAGATCTTCAACCTCATGAAGTACGACAGCTACAGTCGCTTCTTAAAGTCTGACTTGTTTTTGAAATACAAACGAACCGAGGAAGAGGAGGAAGATGAACCCGATGCTCAAACTGCAGCTAAACGAGCTTCCAGAATTTATAACACATGAGCCCCGAAAAGCCAGGACTACCGCCCTCACCAAGCAAAGGGGCTTGCTCTCAGGACTGTGTGGGGTTATCATTGCTTTGTTATGTGCAAGGACTGAGATGTACAAAACCCTTCAATGGGGTGTGTGTATTTTATTAACTGCTTGACCAGTAAGTTTTGCATGATGGCTAATCTTACATAAAAATAGCTTTGAAGTTTCAGTTCACAAAACAAGCAAACAGAGGTTCCTTCCACACTGGACGCTTGGGACATTTAATAGCTTGATTAAACTTCACGTGAGGCCACAAGGTGAAACCTACAGCCACTTTTACCTTGTAAGTCTTTGCCCGGCCTCTGTGGCAAGGGATTGTGTGTGTCACCAGATTCACTTGCAAATTAACTCGAGCATGAATTCATGTGACATCAGGCTCCCAAGGCTGTTGTCTGTCAGTTGTCTTTTGAGTTCAGTTCTTCTTGAGAGCAAGTTCAGTGCTGGACAAAGAAAATGAGTCGCTGACAGCCTAAAGATTTGGGGAGTTGCGTGTGAGCAGCACTAAAGGGTTATTATTTCTTGTGCGTGGGTTGGTCTTGGTTTTGCTCGCAATCCGTGACATTTCATGCCACACAGATAAATAGTTCAGCTCAACAGAAGTAAGATCTCACTTAACCAGGAAGGAAAAAAAGACAAATGGGAAATTGTTCAGGGTGCCCTTACCAACCCCAGGTGGTGGTGAACAGGACTATGGCATAGACGGGTCCTGATCATGGAGTTGGTAGGAATATACCCCTTCTCCCAGAGCCCGTGTGGGGACAAATCACAATCTTTCTCCTCTGCCTTTGCTGGACTTTTTTCCTCTGGCTTGAGACCTCAGGCAGGGAGTAGAGGTGCTGCTCCGAGCCTGCTTTTCTTGTTGGAGAGGCTGTGAATGGAGCATGGTGGGCCCAGTGTTCCCTGCCACCCCAGAGAATTCCTCCTCTACAGTGGAGCCCACCAGGTCCAAGCCAGGCTCGGTTCCCTTTACTTAAGGTCCCTGCCATCTGCAGGGCCTGCTGCTATTTCCCCAACGTGTTTGCCAAGCCTCAAACTCTGATTTGTACAAAGTAACCAGCCTCGGTTGCTTGTAAGCCTTCTAGGCATTTCCATTTGCAAAATTCCCTGATATTGCGGTGACTGTATAATTTATCAAACAGGACCTTTTGGAGAGAGAGGGGAGGTGAGTTCTATAATCTCCCTGGGATAATGCCCATTATAAACCATGAACTGGTTCTGTTCTGGATAAGCCAGTTTGTAGCCTCCCTACTGATGACCTTCCAACAGACAGTCCCCCACATTCCCTAGCCGGGTCGTCCGTCCACTATGGTTAGGTGCAGTCCTTCCATCTTGGGCCTGTGGGGAGGATGGCCTCTGGGAAACATTCACCACTGAGGACCAAGTAACCCCCCTGACTGTCCGTCAGAAGTAGCAAACATTGTCTCCGCTGCCTCAGAGCTTCCTAGACAGGACTCCTGCCTCTGCCTTCTCTGCCTGTCTGAGGACCTGGGCATGAGACAGTGATGCTGAGAAGGACACCCAAGGCTCCTGGACCAGAGAAATATGGTCACAGCCAAGCAGAATAGATGGGTGCATGCTCAGAGTGAAGATGCGAAACAACACGGCTTCTGCAGCTCGGCTTCCTCTGGATCGGGCAGAGTGTACAGGATGCGGATGTGCGCGGGGCATCCCACAGGTGCAGAGTGACGTGCGGCTGCGGGTGGCCCCCTTTGGGCTGGGAAGGAAGGTGGGCTGGAGGCCTCGCTCCGAGTTTCCCCCTTTCACCACTGGGTTCAGGGGCCCTTTTAGATGATGATCTTTTTATAAGGCCCTAGGTAAAGGAAACAGCCAGAAGGTTGTCTACCAAAGATATGCCACCCCTCCCTGACTTGCTCCTGCCCGAGCTCCTGCGTCTGTGCCACTCACGGAACTGAGGCACGTTCAGAGTTCAGAGTCCTGACACAGTCGCAAAAGGAAAACGGAAAAAGCACAGGGAATCCCTGCGGCCAGATGAACGCCTCTCTCCAGCCCTTCACTTCCATCTTTCTGTCTGTCCGTCTGTTCTCTCATCCATCCATCCATCCATCCGTCTTTACATTGGGTCTGCACTGGGTGAGGGATAGTGGTTTTTATTATTGATCAGGTCTAGTAAAGCCAACAGCTCAGGAGACGTTTTCCACTGAAAAGAGTCCGCTACGGTTCTGAAGAGGAGAAGGCATACTAGGTTGGGCAGGGTCACATGGGAGTGCACCAGGGTCAGTGAGAAGGCAGAAGGGCAAATCATGAGCGGGAGCCTTCATTGTGGTTTTGTTGGCAGAGGCAAGATGGTCAGCAGGCTGACTGGCTAGTTTGCATCATTTCACTGGACTCTGGGATGTTTGGATTGTCCCCATTTGTCTGGTACCTGGCCCTGGGGTGATTAGGGCAGGTGAATAGGGGCCCAGAGCAGGAGAGCCTGGTAGGGAGGTGTCACATAAAGGTTATATGCTCTGGGTTGGCTGTGCCTGCGGAGGAAGCAGCCAGCCCCTGGAGGGACAGCCCCTCTGGGGTCAGCAAGGCCCCAGATGCCCAAGTATCAGATAAAAAGACCCGCTTATAACACGGGCTCAGCCTGCAGGCCGTGGGTGTTCTGTGGTGTTTGGTGGGGCAAATGTTTTAAATCTTGCAGTCCAGATTCAAGCAGAGCCTGAGTGTCCTCTCCACTTGGCCACAGGCCCCTCTGTTCCCTAGTGCACTATAGCGGGCTATTCACATATTTATGTTAACCTCTAGCTCCGAGTTCGCACACTCATCTTCCTTATGTGGGGACACAGCCTGCTGACCTTTTCCTCTGACTCCCACTTGCTCAGCATCCCTCCTGATCCACTCTGCTGGCCTGCCCAGCTTTCTGAGTGGAAGTTCAGGTCCGTTTCCTCCCTGTGGTCCTGCCCCGTCCTGTGGAGCTCCCCCCGCAGGCCTGGTGGGAATCTCCAGGTGCCTCTTTCCCTTTGCCTTAGAGGAGATTTGAGATGAGAACACAAAAATAAAGGACATGACCCACACAGCCACATGCCTGTGAGTGGCTGAGGCTGAAGCCGAAGCCCCACCTGCCTCCTGACCCCGCTCCCTTTTTGGTCCGTCGAAGGCCTGGAAAGACCCCCGGAAGCCACCGCTGTGGTGAACACTGGCCTATGTGTGCGTATTCACTCATGTGACAGATATTTAACAAGCACCTACCACGTCCTGGGCCAAAAAGTAGATTCGAGGATGTTGCAAGAGGAAAGAAAGAGGCATGAACCCTGCCCCTCAGGGAGCGAATGTGATGATATAAGTTCTTTCCTAAAAACCGCCATAGGAAGGAAAGTGACCCCCCTCTGGGAGGGGGCTGGAAGGATGGGACCAGCTGGTTGTGCTCAGCTCTTAGCACACAAGCTGGGTTGTGACTTCCCCCTAAATACCAGGATGTCAAGCTTCATGTTGACAGTGATGTGAAGTTCCAAGCCCTCTATCCCAGGGATCAGCTTTTCATTTCAGCCACAGGTGAACTCCAGATACTGACTGGATGGTCAGTCAGCGGAGTCTCCCCCAGGGCTCTGCCAACCAGGTCTACACCCCTCCACGTGTCACGGAGTTGGGGGCTGATTCATTGGTACCCACCTCCCGGGCCCCAGCTCTGAATCTGAGAGGACACTTTGTTTACAAGCTTTGCAAACTACTAGGCAAGCAAAGTCACGGCTCACATTCCATCTGTGTTTACTTTCATTTTGGCTGTGGATGTTCTAGAACTTGCGTTTATTTAAGTGGTAAATGGTCTTGTACCCACAGCTTCCAGGGGTTTTTCAATGGCTTTTCTTCACGAGGTTAGCAGGCTGTAAAGGGATGGGGACTGGAGGCAGGAGAGAGGAAACTTCCATGTGGACATCGTCCTTAGACCTTGAGCAGAGCAGGGCTCTCCCTGGGCATTGCAAGTCCAAAGTGGCCCATGCAGAAAGCTGAGGTCCCTCTTGTCAGGGCCTTTGAGCCAGGGTTACAGGTGGCACCTGCAGTGGCTGCTACAGCCTCCCAGCTCTTCTAGGCATTTCCATTTGCAAAATTCCCTGATATTGCAGTGACTATGTAATTTATCAAACAAGACCCTTCGGAGAGAGAGGGGAGGTGAGCTTAACAATTTCCCTGGGATAATGCCCATTATAAACCATAAATATGGTTTATATCGTCTGTGCTGCCCACTGCACACCCCCAGTGTATAAATATGCACACAAACTGGGGCCAGCTGCTCACTCTGAGTAAGCTCTTCTTTACCTTCTCCTTGTTCTAAGAATAAAAATTTGGGTCATAACTATGGCCTCATGGCTGCAAGGCCAGGGAGATCCAAGCCCAGCCCCACATCCTGCTGCCCGGCTGAGGCTCTGCCTCGCCTTCTGGGCCTCATTTGGGATCTGCAAGCAGTGCGTTGTTGCCTCCTCTGCTCAGAACAGCTTGCTCCTGACCTTGGCGGCTCTCCTCCTGGCCAGTCAAGGCCTGATGCTAGCTTCTGGGAGAGTCCATTCCTGAGGAACTCTGGGAGCAGCCCCTTGACCCTAGGGCTTCTCCCAGCCCCTCCAGAGCCCAGGCATGGCTGGTTATCTGTTGCTGGTTTGCGACCTGTCTCCTAACGACAGGGGCTGCTTCACTGTGTTCCCAGCCACCAGTCCAGGGCTTGGCCCGGAGTAGCCACACAGCAGATGCTCAGAAATATTCCTTGAGTGAATACCAAAAGGGCCAGGATCTAAAATTTCAGTTGATCTCATTCACAGCCTGGCACCTCGATGTTGCCCCTTGGGAAAAGGTCAACCCACGTCGTTGTCATAACAAAACAGATTGGAGGCTCAGAGGATCCCACCACTTCCTGAGTGCCTCCCACGGGTGGGGGGTGTGCATCAGAGTGTCGCTCTTGTGCAGCAGATGTGACTCCTACAGATGGGTGGGGGGAGCTAATCTCAGAACACTGCACCTGTCACAGTT